CCTCCATTAGCATTCCATTTATATGGTGAGCGTCACATCCTGCTAGCTAATTCCATTAGCATACCTCACAGATCTAGAGAAATCATTCTTAAAATTCAGTTGGAACCAGAAGAGACCTAGAATAGCAAAGGCAATTCTGGGCAACAAAGGCAAGGCAGGAGGCACCACAATCCGTAACTTGAACTTATACTACAAAGCTACTATGATAAAATCAGCATAGTACTAGACTAAAAACAGACTTGAAGATCAACAGAATAGATTTGAAGATACAACTACAAGTGACAACACACTCAGCTACCTTATCTTTGACAAAGGAGCCAAACAAGTTCACTGGCAGTAACATAGTCTCTTTACAAAGTGGTGCTGGAAACTGGCTTTCCATATGCTAAAAACTAAAACTAGACCCATGCCTATCACCATGCACTAAACTAAAGTCAAGATGGATCAAAGATCTAAATATTAAAACAGAAACATTAAATCTGCTGGAAGACAAAGTAGGTAGAAACCTTGAAGACATAGGGGTAGGCAGATAATTCATGAACTATAGTCAAACTGTATGGGAAATACTCCCCAGAATCAATAACTGGGATCATGTCTTATTAAGAAGTTTTTGCATGTCAAAAGAAATCTCCAACAGGGTAAAAAGAAAACCCACGAATTGGGAAAAAAATCTTAGTCAACTGTCCCTCAGACAAAGGACTTCAGTTGAAGACATATAAAGAATTAAAAAAAAATCAGACCCCCAAAACTCAGGGACCCAATCCAAAAATGGGCATCTGAGATGAATACACACTTCTTAGATGAAGAAATACAAATGGCAAATAAATACATAAAAAAATGCTCAGTGTCATTGGTCATTAGAGAAATGCAAATTAAAACAACACTGAGATTCCATCTTACCCCAGAAAGAATGGCTAGAATCAAGAAATCTACCAACAACAAGTGCTGGAGAGGCTGCAGGGAAAAAGGAACTCTTGTACACTATTGGTGGGAGTGTAGACTGGTACAACCACTGTGGAGGTCAGTCTGGAGATTCCTCAAAAAGCTGAGATTGGAGGTCTCATTTGACCTAGCTATTCCCTTTCTGGGCATATTCCCAGAAGAACTGAAAACATCATACCACAGTGATATATGTGCACCCATGCTTATAGCAGCACAATTTGTAATAGCCAGATCTTGGAAACAACCTAAATGTCCATCAACTGAGGAACAAATAGAAAAGATATGGTACTTTTATATAATGGAGTACTACTCAGCTATAAAAAGGATCACATTGAGGCTTTTATAGGCAAATGGATGTAACTTAAGACCACACTTATAAGTAAAATAAATCAAACTCACATGTATAGATACCATAGTTTCCCTATTGTAAGAAACTGTAAGAGTAAATAAGATACAAAATCCTCAATAAATATTGTGAAAGGGTAAGAAACTACTCAAAGGGCAAACAATAACTCAAGGAAAAGGAGCAAAAAGGAAGGGAAGAGAAAAAAGACATGAATTTGTATATACACACTTAAGATATCTAAGATGATTGTGCTACTAATTCTGTTAGTTCTTGGAACAAAACAATGACCATTCATAGGATTGGGTCAATTTTGCATGTTTATATCTGGAAATTTGACAAACTCTTTTAAAGATCATTATGTAAAATAACAACCTTAGTTATGTTGCTGCTACCTTGTTTTGAAAGTCTATATTGTCATTGTTTTAGGCTCTTTGTTATTGTTATTTATTTGTCTTTTTTGCTTCTTTTTCTAATAATTTGTTTTTCCCTCTAATGCAGAAAGGATAGATCTACACATAGAGGCTTATGCATGCCTGGAACTTCTCCTAAAGAGTTTAAGAGAATTGATTGTATCATGCGTGATGACACGAACAGTTACTTTGAAGAAAAAGAGACATTACGGTAACCTTTGCTGATTTCCTATCATCATGTTGTGGAGTGTGGTAATGCTCTTACTCTCTGTTAGGAGTGGTTTTAGTCTGTTTTGTATTATTTTAATTTCCATATATATGAAGGTATGGACAGCTATTTTGAGAGAACAAGAAACATACAGTAGTCATCGTTGATTTTCCTATTGTCTGGTTTTGAAGTCCTGTAGTGCTTTTGTTCTTCTGTTTTGATCAGTTTTATTCTATTTCATTTTGCTTGAATTCATTGTGTGTGAAGATATAGACAACTATTTCAAAGAAAACAAGAGACATTATGGTGGCCACTGTTGATCTCCCTATTGACTTGCTTTGAAAACCTGTGTCACCTGCATTGCTTTGTTCTGATCTGCATTGTTCTGTTTTCTTTTACCCTCTTAAAAAAACCCCTCTGGGATCTGTCTGATGGAAGAAGGAATGATACAGGGAGACAGTGAATACACGTCGTTTGCTTTGGACTGAGGCTCACTCACTCTGGCAGCAGTCGGGTCTGTACGGGCCCGGGGAGCGGGGTGTGTGGAAGGTGGGGGACCCATAGTAACAGCTACTGCAGGATTTGAGGAGCAGGAATGAGACTGGGAGGGAAGAAAGACAAGCACCGTGGAGAGGAGCGCACAAATCTGAGAACCCTGAACAAGCAGAATTGACAGCAGCATTGCTTAAGTCTCGGGGTGAAACCACCTTCCCGAGAATGTGAGTCCAGCAGTCTTACAGTAAATGTCAAGTTTACCAGTTCATTCCCAGCGTCATGTCACCTTGATGGCAGAGGTGCTTGCTGGCCAGCCCCTTGCTCCTGACCTCTGCACACCAGAGACTTCTAAGTGCACGGCGTGGAGAGAGGAAGTGCTGACTGCCTGCAGTGCGCACCGGTGCTAGACCCATCTGTGATGGGCAGCACTGCGGGGTCAGATGCGGATGCGTGGTGCAGCATCCCAGGCCCTGGAAAGCGCAGCTGTAAAACCTGAGCTCGGAAGCATCTGCGTCACAGCACCAGGTGGCTCCCACCGGTGCTGTCCTAACTGGGCCATGTGCATTGCTGTGATTACCAACTTGTTTCTTTCCTGGAATCCTTTGGTGACCTCTGTTTGTGCAGCTGAAGGAGACACTCAGGATCTCATGCCTCACGGTCTTGGTAGCTGACAGCAGAACATTCAAGGAATGACAGCAAGTGGTTTTCCTCAAGGTCATTTCCTGCCCGCGACCTCGGCAAAGAGCACATTCCTCAGGGATGCGGTGGTGTGGGGAGGTGGAAACAGAGCTTGTTGTGTCAGATGCCTGGGGAGGTTGCAAGGAGCAGATGCGTGTGTGTGTGTGTGTGTGTGTGTGTGTGTGTGTGTGTGTGTGTGTACATCCTCCACAACATGCCTTGCTGATGAGCACACCATCCGCACTTGGCTGAAAACAAACCAGGTCTGGCAGCCTGCATGACTCAGGCTGAAACCCTTCTCACCCCGACACAGAGATTGTCATTTTAAAGGCAAATGCTGAGCTCAACAGCTACGAGGTTACATTGCATGGTGAAGCAACCCATGTTGCTCTGGCATCCCAGAAATAGCACCTGCTTTGTGCTTGAAGCAGAAGTTGCTTTCGTGGACTTTCAGGGCCTCTGCCTCTTTTCTTCAGTTCTCATAAGAATTCTGCACTTCGGTGCAAGTGTAGATGCTAAGAAGAGCAGCTGGTGAAATGAAAAGATGATGGGATGTGGACTTGGGGAGCTCTGATTTCTTGCATGGGGTTTCCCCATCATTACCAAATGAGGGTGGACAATGTGCCCATCTGAACCTCAGTCTATCTCTCAGTGAAATGGGTACCAAACAATGTTGATGAGACTTGAAGGCAAAGCATGCAAGGTGTCTAGTCCACCCAAGAGGCTCAACGCCATCGATGCTGGTTTGAGCTTTGCTGTAGATTCTCCGCATGGCTGGGTTCTACTGGCTTCCCGTCCCCTTTCATTTATAATAATGGCTTTATTTCTTTAAAGGAGAAAGACATTTCATTACCCATAGTATAGATATTCATCACTTCTCATGTCATCTTTGTAGCTTTGCGCCACCCTCCCGAAAGATGTCAGTGAAAGAAAGCACAGTGGAGACGGAGGGCCTGAGGGCAGACCTCACCTCTGCCCCTGCTCTCACCTGACGGGGCCGTGGCCCATGATGTCACCACAATGACGTGGCCACCACTCATGTGTTTGGATGAAGAAGGGCTTATGCAAAATGACCTTTCAGCCCTTCCGGCTCTTGCTGGGCTGTTTTGGGGGTTCCTCTCGGCAGTGCTGATTTGAATTCTAGTGAGAAACCAGTTAGTGCATGGAACACTACCACTCTGCCAAGCGTCGTGATTTTTTTGGATAGGTAGGATCACATTTCCTAAGGTCAGCAAACAGGGAGGCACACACCGGGGCCTTCGCTCTGAATGTCCTGGGGATTATGGGGCGTCAAGGCTTGTCTCTGCTGATAGACCCCCATATTTCCAGGAGAACTGCTGTTACTCCTTGCTCTTCACGCTGGTTGCTTGTATGCGTGGAAATTTTTACACACAGATCATTTATAAGGAGGCAGGTGTGTCTGAAGTGTAATTTATGTTTACACCAGCCAGTTAAAGCTGCGGTCTTACCATGGGCTTGTCAAGATGTTAAATACCATTTCTCCTTGTTTTTCTCACCTCGGGAATGATAGGTTACAAAGTACAACGCCCATTCAAGGAACATCAGAGGGACTAACTGTAGTCTATATGTCAGCTAGGAAAGTGGAAAGTGACACTCTTACAGTGGAAGCTAATCAAATGGTAGACACAATCTTCCACTTTCTTGAAATCCTATAGAAGGAGCTGAGAAGATTTTTAGCAAATTCTCTCTCACCTTGTGTCAAAATATATATTTTTTCTGGAGTTCTTGCCCCTCTTTTGGCTCAAAAAGTAAACTCTGCATAAAATGTATTACCAACTTTCACTTAAAGAAAGCCACTGTGTTTGAAAATATATCATCCCCAAGTGGAGAGGCTGAATAGCACCAGACCACTTTTTTCAGTAATAGCCAATTTAAATCACCTGAATTCTTAGAAACTTACCAAATGAGCTGTAGCGGAGTTTTCTGTGTCCGATTCCATGGGAGCCATTTGTACTGTGAACTCTTAGACGTCGGCTAAGTTTGGCCAGCAGATGGCACCAAACGTTTTCGTTAGAAAAGTGGCCTTTCAGGAAGAAACCGTCCTCAGCATTCTCTCCTATTAAACATAAATCTGTTGAGTGTTGCAGGTTCATTCACCCAAGTTCAGGAAACACGTGTCTTTCTTATTTGGTAGCTCTCTGGCAGGACACCATAGCAGTTCAGGGTGGGTTATTTCCTTGAAGTTTGCTAAAAAGGAAGTATGGATGAAATTAAACAGCGGAAACAAAGCCTACTAGAGTTTTCGAAGACTAATAAAATGCCAGTCTCTCAGTCCAAAGGCTTCTCCATCAGCCCCTGCACCCCTGAAGCTCACGAGAGGCTGAGACAAAGGACACTGAGGTGCTAGTCGGCTCAGTCTCCTCTTTTTGTCCCTTGCTGCATGGTTTTTTTCCCCCTCTAGATCTTCAGACTAGCTTTTCATAGTCTGGTTAGCATCTCGTTATGTTTAGGAAAGAGAATACGGTAAAGCGGTCTACCTGATCAAGGCACTATTTTTGGCGGAGCATATGCATACTTTCAGAGGCTTGTGGTAATAAGAATTATATATTTCAACCACTGATCAGTCACCAGAAGAAAGAACTGCCACACTCTCTTGCAGAGAGTTGTTCATTTATACCAAGTTTCAATTCTTACAAAACTTTTAAAAAAGAAAAGCCCAAAGTTCCATGCATCCCTTCCTTCTTTCCTTGGATGAGTATTTAGAGTGGCCCCAGTGCCAGGGGTTGAAATTAGGAGCCAGGTGTACAGTGGGGAAGGAAAACGTGTGGTTCTAGCTCTTGGGGTGCAGCTAATCTAGCGGAAGGGCCAGGTGCTCATCAGGCCACCCCCAGGAGTGCACGGGAACCAGCAGAAGAAGGCAAACATCGTGATCCCAGGTGCTGCATGTGAACCAAGTTCAATCTGGCTCAAGGACTAACGGCAGCAGATAGCGCTCTCTAAGGAGTGACCCTTGAGCAGAGATTTGGAGGATGAAGAAGAATGAATTGGGCTAAAGGATGGGAGGAGTATGCAGGCCAGCGAATGGCAGGCTCATTGTTTTCTAGGGGCGGCATCTCCTCAGAATCCTGTAGAAGAGTCACCACGGTGCTCTTCAAAGATGCTGGCATTTCCGTTACCGTCGTGTGTGTCAGGCCTTGATGAGGAGATCTGCATAGGCTGGATATAAAGCCACAGTGCTACCTCACAACACCTTTTAGTTATTTTCTTATATTTCATCTTACTGTCTCTGCCATCTCAGGGTTTCCTAGACAACACATCCAATGGACCCCGAGCCTCTTTGAACCAGAGGTAAACTATTGGGACCACTCTCAATGGCTCAAGTTTGCACTCTAGATCCAGAACCCTTGGTAAGGGTACCCACATTTGTCCTGCTCAAAATGATGCTCCTTCCTCCCGGACCAATAGTCGTCAGCATCTTTTTTGCATACTCCTGCATCTTTGTCCATATAATTGAGTAAAATTCTGTTAGTTTTTGGTGTGGGGTAAGCCTCCTCTTGGTATTGATTGCTAAATTCCCTTCTCCTCCAGGCAAAGGCAGAATCTGAACTTGGGAAAGGCCCAGGATATGGAGAATCAGTGTGGATGGGTGAGAGATGGGTGCGGATGAGGATGGAGCATGAAGAGACTCTATTCCTCCTTTCAAGCAGATAGGAGACGGCAACAGCAGTAACCTCAGGTCAGATGTGAAAAGCCTAATTGAATGAGGAACAGAAAGAAGCCAAGAGAGGTGAGGGAAGCTTAATGTGGGCTGGGGAAATTGGAGGTCTGGGGAAATTGGAGGTCTCTAAATCCTCCCACACATTCTCATCCCAGTTCTCTTTTTCGTTGCCAATCAATAGCTTACAGGTACAAAAGCAACTTTATGAAAGCATGAATTCAGCTGGTAATTTAGTAACTCCGGCTTAAACTTCGCCTTCCTTTCCCAGCTGCCTCAGTCCCATTCTTTGAGCACAGTCAGAGAACTCCATGGTTGAAGCCCATGACTTAAGTTTCTCATGTGTCTTTCAAAGTGCTACAGTTGGTCTTGAATTTTCCGCAGAAGCCCACGTATTGAAGGCGTAGGCACCAGCCTGGGGTGCTGTGAGAGGCGGCGGGGTCTTTAAGAGGTGGGGCCTAGCAGGAGGAAGGGAGGTCATGGGCGTGCCCTTGGAGGCGGTACTGGGACCTCTCCTGGCAATTGGGTGAGCAGGTTTGTTCCACCAGGCTCTTCTCCTCGTGAATGTGCTCAGAGGAAATGGCCTTTAAACCTGGCTGAATGTCTTTGAGAGCCTTTTTCTGCACTGCCTCCTGGTTGCCTTGAGATGCTTTACCCCGTCACCCTTTCCCTTTAAGCTGTGCCTGTCTTGATGCCTGCTGCCTATCAACTGACCCTGCTGAGCTGTGAACCAAATGAGGCTGCTCCTTCTTTGAGCTGTGGGTGTCAGGGGTCTCTGCGTCCGAAAGGGTGATAAATCTTTGAAACAGTGAACTAAAATAAATTTTTCCCTCTTCTAACTTGATTATCTTAGGTACTGAGTCACAATGACAAAAGGCTGACATACAGTGTCAGAGTTCTGACCATTCCTCTCCCGTCCTTTCTTTTTAGTACAGTGCACATGGTCTAGACTTCTAGTTGCCTGCATTTTGCCTCTGTGAACCTGAGGGCTTTCTCCACCCTCTGAGCCTGCTCGGTTCATGCACAGGAGACCAGAGGGGCAGGACAACCAAAGTGGCTACTTTGTCGGGGGTGGGGGGGGGTGGGGGGCTGACCTCGGGTACCTGAGCTCCAGTTGTTCACAGTGGTAACCTCCTGGGTCATGCACCCTCGTCTGGCCTCTTTCTCTTCCCTGTTTTACTTCCTCACTCTCTAGCTTGTATTTCACCTAAATAAACTACTTGAATTCAAACGCTTGTTTCAGGATCTGATTTCAGGTAAATCCAAACTAAAAAGGGACCTTCCTGGAAGAATCTCAGGTAGCTTACAATGCTTGAAGATGCAGACTACGGAAATGGAGAGGAGAACTGACATCCGCAATATGGTATGCTGACATTGCCAATCCACAGAAAGATCTGGTTCAGGGGCCCCTGTTGCATATCCAGCAATCTCAGCGGGGGCAGTATAACACCAATAGGAAAAACTTCCCTTGGAAGAACCAGTATCTTACTATATCTAAAGCTGGGATATATATCTAATACATGACATACAGTAAAATAGATCCGGTCTTTAAATTTCATGGGAAAGATGTGTAAGAGCCAAATGTCTAAAAAAAGTCTTTGATGAAGGGCAATAATGAAAAAAGATTCAGAAATAAAGCTCTGGTACTACTGCTTCCATGAATTCTAGGTCACTTCTGATGCTGTGGCCTTGAATCCTAATCTGAGCACCACTGAGGACCAGAGTCTGATGGGAACTTCTGATTGGAAGGCTCAGGTCATGTGACCAGAAATAGTAGAGAGAAAGCATTTGGCCCCTGTCCCTTGTAACAGCTGGCAAGACTTACACAGTGAGAGAGTTCTGTCTTCAAGGCTTGAAGGAGTTGTAGGAGGAAGCCAGCCTTCAGACAGTAACTGGTCACTTCTGAGCAATTGTAGACGGCAGTTTGAGGGTTTTCTTTTGGGAATTATCTTCCTCCTTCTAAAAAATAGGTTTTAGACAAAGGTATTTATGGGAAGATATACAGTGTGGTCTTTGGTTACAAAAGTTTACCAGAGATTGTACAAACTATTTTTCAGAGAAACTTTTAAAATAGGAGACTTCTGGTCTGCTTGAGTGTTCTTGAGTGAAAAATGGGAGGTGAGAAAACTGTCCTTTTAGTCTCAGAATTTTAAATTCATGAACATAAAGTTATCCTTGGTTATCTGTGGCAGATTGGTTCCAGGACCCCCTGAGGAAATCAAAATCTATGGATGCATATCCCACTTATATAAAATGGCATGGTGTTTGCATTGAACCTGTGTATATCCTCCTGTATATGAAATCATCTCTAGATTACTTATGACATCTAATACAATTAGTGCTATGAACCTAATGATTATGCATATTGTCTAGGGAATCATGGCAAGAAGTCTTCACATTGCTCAAGAAAGATGCATTTGTTTTGCAAATATTTTATCCAGATGGGGAACATGTGGATATGGAGGGCTGGCAGTAAATGTCTTGGGAACTGGGACCTGGAATGTCTAACTGTCCAGCTAGATGTATCCCCAGGGTGTGTTCTAAAGATCACTGTAATCAAGAGATCGCAGCATTTCCAGTGGCTGGTGGAAGACTCATCAGCATCTTCCATCTCACATTTATAAGAGGTGGCTATTGAATTAAAGCACGTTAGGGTTTCTATTTCTAACATTTTATATATCAAGGAAGGTGAGATGAGAAAAGAGAACGGAGGAAAATAAGAAACAGAGAAGGAAATGAAAGATTTACTGTGATTTTCCTTTATGCCTTTAATTCTAATAAAACCAGGGAAAAGGCATTATTATTTTCATTGCATGGTGAAGAAATAGAAGTTCAGAGAGCTACCAGGCTCCCAGAACTGGCAGCTGCTGGGTAGCTAAGTTGGTAACTATGTATGCTAGCATAAAAAGGGTAAGGCTGCCATAGGTCTTCCTGCCTTGATGCTGTGGAATGAAATAGAAGTTGCTTTTAATTCAGTAACTCGAAAGCATACATCCACATAAAGTGTGAGCCCAGCGTTACCCATCTATAAATCCCAGCAGACATCATTTCTAGGGTGGCAGTAAAAGCCTAGACTGTGAGCCAGGACAGCAGAGTTTAGCTCTAGCTGTGGCAGAAAGGTGAGTATGAGAAATAAAAGACCAGAGAACAAGAATCACAAATCATTCTGCAGGACGCCCGGCAGGTTCGCTCTGGCCTTGCCCAGGTCATTTGCCAAGTGTATAAGTGTTGCCCTCAGCAGAGATCAGAATATGTATCAAATTAAATTTTGGAAATTTGATAAGGCATAGATGATAAATGGCAGGTTCTAAAGACTGGATTACTTTTCCTAATCACTGAAAGAGTAATGGTTACATTTTTGTATAATTGGGCGGCAATGGGTCTGGTGGGAAAGGTG